ATCTAAAAGACTTTGAGAAGCAAGTTTCTCATTATTCATGTGGTGGTAAAACCCAATGAGAAATGACATTAGTTTATAAATGTTTACTTTTCTCGGTATTAGCATTCAAAGATGTTACTATTCAAATTGTCCTGTATTTGAGTACAAGGTGCTGGACCAGACCTCTCTAGAGTATTACATAATACATAATTCCAGGGGTAGGGAATACGGTTCAGTGGTAGAGTACTAGTATGTACAAGACTCTAGATTCAATCCCTAGTACCACAAAAAAAAAAAAAAAAAAAAAAGAGAAATACTGTACAAGGGCCATAGTTCTTTTCTAAAGTCCCCAATTTCTAAATTCAAAAACACATTTGACCCCAAGAACTTCTTCCCCCTTTGGCCTCAAGGATTTTGAATAAGGTACCATTCACTAGTGTATGAGTTAATGAAAGTTAAATCATCTTAAAATATACATAGAACCAAAACTGAAAATTCGTATGGACAGACCTTCACATGCAGTAAATTCAATGTCTTAGCAATATCATATACACAAAACCGGGGGGGGGGGGGGGCTTTAAAAAAAAAAAAAAAAAAAACGGGGGGGGGGGGGGGAGCATTAAAAAAAAAAACAGAAAACAATGGGAAGTCTGGAGAGCTGGCTCAGCAGTTAAGAGCACCGGCTGCTCTTACAGAGGACCTGGGTTCAATTCCTAATACCCATATGATGGCTAACAACTGTCCATAACTTTAGTTTCAGGGAAATCCAAGGTCCTCTTCTGATCTCCTCAGGTACTGCACGACATGGGTGCACTTACATGCAGGCAATAGACTCATACACATAAAAACAAATAAATCAAAAAAACTTTTTTAAAAACATTAAAAAATAGTAAAATAAAATAAATAAATAAGTAAATACTTAACAGGGGCTAAAGAGATGACTCAGTAGTTAAGAGCACTTGTTACCAGAACCAGAGTTCAGTTCCTAGCACCCACACTGGGTGGCTCATAGCCATCTATAACTCCAACTGACACCCTCTTCTGGTCTTCACCTGCACTCACACTCACATGTGCATACCCACACACAGACACACATAATTTAAAAATCTAAAAGCCAGGAGTAGGGCTGGAGAGATGGCTCAGTGGTTAAGGGCACTGGCTGCTCTTGCAGAGGACCCAGGTTTGGTTCCCAGCACCCACATGGTGGCTAACAACCCTACATAACTCCAGTTCCAGAGGATCCAACACCCTCTTCTGGCATGACACAGATACATTTACATGCAGGCAATACACTCATACACATAAAATTTAAAAAAATAATAAAAATCCAGGAGTGATGGTGTATGCCCATAATCCCAGCATTTGGAAAACAGCGGAAGGTTATCTCTGAGAAAATGAGGCCAGTCTGGTCTACATAGTGAGTTCTAAGTCATCTGGTGCTACAAGGAGACTCTGTCTCAAAAAAAAAAAAGGATTGGGGGGGAATCTATCTAGGAGTGGTGGTCCATGCCTTTAATCTCAGCACTTGGGAGGCAGAGGCAGGCAGATCTCTGTGAATTCAAGGCCAGCCTTGTTCTCTACACAGTAAGTGCCAGGTCAGCCAGGGCTTTAAAAAAAACAAGTAGGTAAGCTGGGCATGGTGGCACATGCCTTTAATCCCAGCACTTGGGAGGCAGGCAGATCTCTGTGAGTTCAAGGCCAGCCTGGTCTACATAGTGAGTTCCAGGCCAGCTGGGGCTCCTGGGAGACCCTGTCTCAAAAAGACAGGAAAAAAAAAAAAAACCAAGTAGGTGTGGCAGTGCCCCATGTCTGTAATCCCAACACTTGGGAGGCTGAGACAGGAAGATACTGAGTTCAAGGCAAGTCTGAGTTACAGGGAGAGATCTATGACGGATGGATGGATGGATGGACGGACGGAGAGATGATAGATAGGCAGATGAATACAGGAACAAGAGAGCTGGCTCAGCAGTTAACAGTGCATATTGCTCTTAGAAGAGCACCCAAGTCAGATTCCCAGCATCCATGTCAGGTGGCTCACAAAGCCCAGTAACTTGAGCCCTGAGATCGGAAGCCTCTGGCCTCCATGGAAACATGCACTCAGGAGCACATATTCACATACATACAGATAAAAAACATTTTTAAAAATTTTATACGGGGCTGGAGAGATGGCTCAGCGGTTAAGAGCACTGACTACTCTTGCAGAGGATCTGGGTTCGATTCCCAGCACCCATGTGGCAGCTACAAACCGTCCTTAACTCCAGTTCCAGAGGAATCAGAAGCCCTCTTCTGACCTCCGTGGCATTGCACGACACTGGTGCACTCACATACACACAGCCAATACACTCATACACATAAAATTAAAATAATAATTTTTTTTTTAATGTATGTGTATGAGCGTTAGGGTTTTTTTGGGTTTTTTTTGGTTTTGGTTTTTTTGGTTGATTTGTTTTTGAGACAGGGTCTCCTTGTAGCCCCAGCTGGCCTTGAACTCAGAGAGATCCACCTGCCTTTGCCTCCGGAGTGCTGGGACCAATGGGTGCACCACCATGCCCAGTGCTGTATGAATGTTTTGCCTGCATGTAGGTAAGTGCACTCATGTGTGCAACAAAGTAAAATCTTAAAACAATATAGCTATAAATAAGTAAATGTCAAAAACCAAACATGAGCTAGAAAGATGGATCACAGGTTAAGAGTACTGGTTGCTCTTATAGAGGACCTAAGTTCAATTTCCAACACCCACGAGGCAGCGAACACTTGTTGGTTACTTCAGGTCCAGGGTACCTGACACCTTCTTCCACCCTCAGTGAACAGTGCATGCATAGGCGCACTTACACACATGCAGAAAAAACACTCACACATGTAAAATAAAAACAAATCAGAAAGAATTTTTTTTTAATATTTATTATTTTTATGTATATGCATGTATTGCCTGCATGTAGGTAAGTGCACTCGTGTTGTGCAATGCCTGTGGAGGACAGAAGAGGCTGTCGGATCCCCTGGACTGGAGTTACGGACAGTTGTTAGCCGCCACATGGGTGCTGGGATTCGAACCCAGGTCTTCTGCGAGAACAGTCAGTGTTCTTAACCTCTGAGCCATCTCTCCAGCCCCAGAAAGAATTTTTAACCACATTTTTCAAATGATTGGTGGCTTTGCATCCTCCAATAGCTAAGTCAGATCAGGTTAAAACTCACTGATTTAAATCAGTTAAAACACAGTCAAAGGCTGAACTGCTAAGTATGGTGGGAAATGAATCATCAGTGATAACTCAGTCACAAAAATATTTTTTAAAAGTTTATCTTGGAGGATTTAAGATAAAATTATTCTGAAAGTCCAACACATCCCATTGATACCTGCTGTGAAGGTGGTGCCCGCCGTGGGCAGGGACAGTTCTTAACGTGCTCTCCACAGGAAGAAGGTTTCACATTCTTTCCTTCCTTCCTCCTTGAGCTGCTGCTTTTCTGGTTTTAGAATTTTAAACAAAGAAAATACATATTGGCTCCACCGCTAAGAACCGCCCTCTTTCTCAGCAACTTCCTCTTCCAATTTTCATCCCCATCACTGACACAGGAGAACAATACCCACAGCTGGACCTACTCTTTTGATTAACCCAACTCTCTAGAGTTTAGAAAAACTAAGGGCTACATTTATAGCATCCAACCAGCTCCTTCCCCAAGCTTCTACTATCTAAAAGATGAGGCAAACACAAAGACAGAAATAAATGTGAAGCTTAATCATAGGTAGGCTATTGAAACTTTCACCCAAGAATCCAAAGAAATCTGAACAAACGGAAAATTCTCCCAATAAAAAGTGGTCCTCTTATAGTGAAGAAAAAAGGCAGAGATGGTACCACCCTGAACCAGAGATCAAGTCTATACACTAAGTGCTGGTGAACTTTCCTCTGCAGGACACTGGCCTAGGATTCAAACTGAGTTCTCTGAAGTTATGACACATTTCAAAGTAACTTTTAACACTTAGATATGGTTCTTTCCAACTCACAGAGTAAGCGAAGGGGATGGTCTTATTATTCACCATCCAGAGATCAAGACCTAGCCTGTCTCCAAGACAGAAGGGAAATCAAATTCCTAGGCTTGACCCCTCCCTACATGTGACAAGTCAAACTTCCCTATCTTTTAAGTTGGGCAGTGACTTACCCCGAACCCAGCCATTCCCAGAGGAAATACCAGCACAGTTCTAATCTCTGCACATTACTCTGTGGCCCTAAGCAAGTTACTTAAAGTCTCTGAAACTTGGCTTCCTCACCTTGTAAATCTGCAAGGGTAACTGGAAAAACTAAACAAGAACATATTCCTAAAGTTTAGCACATAGTAGGGCAGCCATAAACGTTCTTCTTGGTCCTCCTCTTCTGAACTACTGGGCTTCACTTCCCCTCCTAGTCCCAAAAGGCTCCAAGGATTTCCTCCTCCTCCTCTGTGAACTGTATCAAACTTCCCCATCTCAAACGACCAAAAGAACCCGACCCTACTGCATCACGATCTGGATAGCAACCACCTGTATAGCAACTTTCACTGTCCGGGTCATGCTGTGCACACATTTGTCACACACACACACACACACACACACACACACGAGTCCTACCCACTCAACTTAGCATGCTAGGGATCTCAAAAAGCGCCTCAATTACTCCATGGTTCAGACTGGAAACTGAGGCTCAGGCTGAGGTGGTAGAACTTGCCCGAGAGCTCACTTCTGCAATGTCTTCGTTTTTTTTTTTTGTTTTTTTTTAACAAATGGTAAACCGAGGACCGAAGACGGAAGTGACTTGCCCAAGTGCACACATGACAGGTCATGACACTTTCGCCGGCTCTTCCGAGTCTCCCAAGCGCCCTTAGGGTCACCCCCCGACCCCCGGAGGCGGCGAGGGAATCCGAGGCCCCAGCGAACCCTCAGCGACCGCAAGAGCAGCGCCAGCCCAGTCCCCGACCCGCGCCGCTCCGCTGGGACGGCCCAGCCGGCCTCCGCACCTCCCGGCCCGGCCCGCCCAGGGGGACTTGTTGCTCACCGGAGCTCGCGCAGTTGCCCTCAGCGACATGAAGGGCTCGGCCGGCCTGCCCGGTGTCCGAGCGAGCTGCGCTCCAGCCCACCGGCTCACGAGCAGCCACCCTGCCGGACCCTCCTCAAGGCGCTACGCCCCCAACCGCGCGCGACCGGCCCGCGTCCGCCATTACGCGATGCCCCGCCCCGGGACAGAGCCACACCCCACTAGTGGCTCTGATTGGCTCGCTGCCACACCCGCCCTGCGCTTCCAGCCACCTGATCGGCCAGAGTGGATGCCAGTTAAATGACTACGCAAAAGACGTATTCAAAGATACAATCCGGGGAACTCCACCCGAGCAACTTCCGCAATCGGAGTAAACAGCGGCGTGCAAACCAAGTGAAGCGGGGGGGGGGAGGGGGGAATAAAGGCCCATCGACGCCTCAATCCGAGTAGGGAAATATCAGCTGAGAAAATCCAAGACCTCGTCCAACGCGTGTGGGAAGACTCATTCTTTTTACTAGAGCTCAGAAAGCCAGTATTTTTGCTGAAAGGAAGGGGCGAAGCCTATGGAGTTTCAGTGGACACCCCTCGAGTTGCAAATAGTTTTGTCTCTTCTTGCCTAGTGCTAGGCCTGCCTAAGAGTCGGGTGGGGAGGGTGAGTCATAGGCTTCACCTTGCCCCAAAGGGATTAGTGGGGCAAGGTCGGCTCTTGGGACTGGGAGCTCGTTCTGAGCCGCCACTCCTAGTTCCGCGGCCACCTTACTACTTTCTGAATCTGCCTGCCTCTCACTTGTCCTGCAAAGTGGGGGCAGTAGGCTCAGGCAAGTCTGCATCATACCCCCACACCCCCACACCCCTGGCCAAGGGGGTTTGCAAGGACGCAGGTCTAACAAAGTAGATAGGTGGTTATAAAAGGCTGTTGGAGGTTTGGAGAGATGACTCAGCGGTTAAGAACACTGGTTGTTCTCGTAGAAGACCGGGGTTTGAATCCCAGCACCCACATGGCAGCTAACAACTGTGTATAACTCCAGTTATAACTCTTCTGACCTCTGTATGCAGGCAATGCACGCATACACATAAAATAAAAATAATAGATAAGTTTTAAAAATAAAAGGCTACAGCTGGGTGACCGTGTGACAAATCCAGTTTATCTCATTTAGTATTCTAGAGCAACTCTGTATGACCTTTATTGAACACTGGGTAGTTCTGTAAATGATGTGTCCCCATTCCCTTTGCAGTATATTAAACTTACTTTTTTCAATAAAAGGGAGAGGATGGGCAATAGCTCAGTTGGTAAAGTGCTGTTTTGTAAGCATGAGGACTGTATCTCTAGAGCATAGGTTTAAAAAACAATGGGGCTGAGGAGGTGGCTCAGTGGTTAGAGTGCTTGTTGCTCTTACAAAGGACTCAGATTTGTTCCCAGCACCCAAATAGATGCCTCACAACACCCTATAACTTCAGCTCTTGGGGAACCCCACATTTCTGGTCTCATTGAGCACCTGCCTACACACAGGTACACATACACATAACTAAAAATAATTAAATATTTTTTGGTTTGAGGGTTTTGTTCAGTTGGCTTGGGGGTTTTTGAGACGGTCTCCCTGTAGCCACAGCTGGCCTGGAAGTCACTATATAGACCATGCTGGCCTCCATCTTTTTTTTTTTTCTTTCTTTCTTTTTTTTTTTTTTTATTTTTAAAAGGCTCTTTACCGCTGAGCCATCTATCTGTCCAACCCCCTGCCTCCCTCTTTAACAGATCCCCCTTTTATAAAGTGCTCTTAACCGCTGAGCCATCTATCTGTCCAGCCCCTGGCCTCCATCTTACAGAGATCCACTTGTCTCTGCCTCCTGAGTGCTGAGATTAAAAGTGTGTGCCACGCCAGGTTTGACGGATCCTAGCACTCGGTATCATATATAATCCTAGCACAAATTCTTACTGAATTTGTGTCATTCAATAAATTAGTATTTTTTTTAATTTTTAAAAATTTAAAACAGGGATGAAGGTGCACACTTGTCATACCAGTGTTACTGAGGCAGACAGGCACATCTCTGGAGCTCACTAGCCAGACAGCCTAGTCTACTTATCAAACTCCAGGACAATGAGAGAGGCTGTCTCAAAAACCAAGGCGGCCCACACCTTTAATCTCAGTACCAGGAGGCAGAGACAGAAGCAGGCAGATCTCTGTGAGTTCAAGGCCAGCCTGGCCCACATAGTGAGTTCCAGGCCAGTCAGAGCTACATAGTGAGACCCTGTCTCCAAAAAAAAAAAAAAAAAAGAACCAGGTGGAGCTAGGGACTCAAACCTGTATTTTTCAGCTTCTGTTCCTGTATTTCTTGCTCCCAGACATCTTGTCACCTGTGCAAGGTTTCCCTCCCCACAGCAGGTCAGCAACCTAGGCAGAATCCGAATGAGGATGCCACCATGGACCCTCACTGGGACAGCCAGGTGCCAGAATTTAGATCAGGTCTGGTCTGTCCACTCTCCAAACAGAATCATCTTGTAATTGTTTGGTCACCAAGGGCTGCTCTGGCCATAGAACTGAGGATAGTTCTTTTCCTTCCCTCTCAGAAGGGCAGGCACTGCCAAGTAGGCAGTGCCAACAGGACCCTAGTGGCTAGGGGTACTAGGTTGCTATCTCCCAGGCTTGAATTGGGAGACTCAGTCTGACAAGTGACTGTTTAAATCTTGGTGTGACTGTTGAATGAAAGACGGCAGCTGTGCAGAAGACAGTGGCTGTAGGGTCAGGCTGATGTGAGATTGAAACTTACCTCCACCTCTTTCATTCTCTCAGTGCTTCACCAACTTCTTCTCGAAAGTGTAACAGTTGTGAGGATTCAGTGAGTTAATGGAGGAATTAATGAGTGTGCAAAACTCCTGGTGCTTATTTATTCATTCATGGATCCATGCAGTCAATAAAAATTACTGAGACGGCTTAGCAGGTAAACATGCTTGCTGCCAAGCCTGAGGACCCGAGTTCAATCCCCAGAATCCACATGGTAGAAGGAAAGAACCAACTCCTGCAAGTTGTCCTCTGACTTCCACTCCACACACAGGCTCTACCTGCACCACACACACACACACACACACACACACACACACACACACGTTAAAAAAAAAAAAAATTACGCATGGTGGCACATGCCTTTAATCCCAGCACTTGGGAGGCAGAGGCAGCCTGGTCTACATAGTGAGTTCCAGGACAGCTGGGGCTACAGGGAGACCCTGTCTCAAAAAGACAAAAAAAAATTACTAGACCAGACAGTGGTGGCATGCGCCTTTGATACCAGCACTCAAGGGGCAGAGGCAGGCGGATCTCTTCGAAATTGAAGCCAGACTGGTCTACATGGTGAGTTCCAGGACTGGGGCTACAAGGAAACCCTGTCTCACTAAACAAAAAACTTGGGGGCTAGGGAGATGATTCAGCAGTTGAGAGCACTGATTGCTCTTGCAGTGGACCCAGATTTGATCCCAGCACCCACATGGCAGCTAACAATTGTCTGTAACTCCTGTTCGAGGGGAATCCAACGCCCTCTTCTGACCTTTGAGGGCATTGTACAACATGGGTGCACTTACATACATGCAAGCAGTATGTTCATGTGCATAAAGTAAAAATGTGTATGAGTGTATTACCATGTGGGCGCTGGGAATTGAACCCAGGTCCTCTGTAATAGCAGCCTGTGCTCTTAACTGGTGAGCTCTCTCTCCAGCCCCAATAAAATATTTTTTAAAAATAATAATAAAATGGGCTAGAGAGATGGCTTAGCAGTTAAGAACACTTACTGTTCTTGCAGAAGACCTGGGCTCGAATCCCAGCACCCACATGGCAGCTAACAACTGTCTATAACTGCAGTTCCAGGGGATCTGACAGCCGACAGCCTCTTCTGTCCTCCTTGGGCATTGCACGACACAGGGCACTTACCTACATGCAGGCAATACACACATACACATAAAATAAAAATAATAAATAAAATAATAATAATAATAATAATAGGGCTGGAGAGACCT